CTTTCCCTAATTCCAGTCACTCCTAGGCATTTTTCAAAATGTGTTCCTGAAATAGTAAAACTATAGTTCTAGTATTAGAACTTTAAACTTCTTTCTGAACATTACCCTAGCCGATCCATCCTTGACGGTAAAATATAAAACCTACACTAATTCAAGCCCCATCTCATGTAAGAAAAAGACATAGATCAGGAGCCACTTTACTAGAAATCTGAGTCAGTTTGTGGAGGGCAGAGAGCTCTTCTTTCTTTTGTGCAACACCTGACAAGTGAGGGCTTCATGATCAGAAAAATCAATTTCATCTCCAGAGCTACCATTTCCTTTCTAAGCCCTGGTACCTCACTGATCTCTGGGGATACTATGGGCCCTAAAGAATGAGAACAGAGGCTCTGAAGAGCAGAGCTGTTTGATATTTGTTAGAATGTTATCATCCTTTTGTATCCTGTCTATTACATTACAAGTTGGGATACACTTAACAGAAGTCTAGAGCCACATTTATCTATAACCAACCAACAGTCACAAAGTCTGTCTTCAAAGGCCTCATGTTATTAGGTGGTAAAACTTTTGTCAACCATATAGCAAGTATGAATGCCATAAGAATGATACAGTTAAAATACTACAGGCACTCATAAGACACTGAAAACAATTTTTTGGCTTTACTTTTGCTTCAAGAGAAGGGCAATTGGGGACTTCCCTGGTGGCACAGTGGTTAAGAATCCGCCTGCCAATGCAGGGGACACTGAGACCCTGGTCTCAGAAGATCCCACATGCCATGGAGTAACTGAGCCCGTGCACCACAACTACTGAGCCTGCGCTCTAGAGCCCGCAAGCCACAACTACTGAGCTCGAGTGCCACAACTACTGAAGCCTGCGCGCCTAGAACCCGTGCTCCGCAACAAGAGAAGCCACTACAATGAGAAGCCTGCATACCGCAACAAAGAGTAGCCCCCACTGGCCGCAACTAGAGAAAGCCTGCACGCAGCAACGAAGACCCAACACAGCCAAAAATAAATAAATAAATATTTTTTACAAAGGGCGATAACGTTAATGAATTCCTACTATGTCTCAGGCATTGTGTTTTTATAGATGACAGCTTATTTAACCATCATCACAATTCTATGAAAGTTGTTTTTATCTCCATCTAACAAAAGAGAAAACTGAGGCTCCAAGAAATTAAGTGACCATCTCAAAGATCACACAGTTAGTAAGTAAAAGAGCTAGGACGGAATCCAGGTTTTCCCTGGTTCCAAAGCCTCTGCTCTCTAAACAAATACAATGACTCCTCCCTCAAAGATTGATCATTCACTCAGTTATGAAGGTGTATTGAGCACGTACTATTTTCTACCCACCTACCTGGGACTGAGACATACAACAGTAAACAAAACAGGGCTCTGTCTTCATGGAGCTTAGTGTCCTCTGAGAAAGAAAGACTTTAAACAAGTACAAAATAAATATAACATGAGCCTATTTATTTATGGTGGGAAAAAGATCTGAGGAGATGACATTAGGGTTGAGACCTAAAAGATGAAAAGAAGTTGGTGAGAAAATGGGACAGTTAGAAACAACAGCATGTGTAGAAGTCCTGAGAAGGAAGCAGGCTTAGATGTTTGGAGCTATAAGGAGGCCAGAGTGGCTACAGCTTGAGTAGAGTGGAACTAACTAAACAACATTGCCAGAGTAAGCAGAAGCCAAGTCAGGTAAGGATCATGAAAACAAGTCTGGATACATTCAAGTATAATGAGAAGCCTAGGAGAACTTCAAGAAAGCAATCTGTTGGTCCAATCTGTTTTTAAAATGTTATTCTGGGGAATCCTCTGGCGGTCCACTGGTTAGGACTCTGGACTTTCACTGCCAAGGGCCTGGGTTCAATCCCTGGTCAGAGAACTAAGATCCCACAAGTTGTGCAGGGAGCCAAATCAATCAATCAAGTGTTATTCTGGCTGCAATGTGGAAAAACAGATTGGAAGTGGACTACAAAAGAAGTAGGGAGTTCGCCGCAACTGGAGAAAGCCCGCGCACAGCAACTAAGACCCAGCGCAGCCAAAAATAAATAAAAATAAAATAAAATTAAAAAAAAAAAAAAAGAAGTAGGGAGCCCAGGAGGGCCAGGCAAGAGATGAAAACTTAAACTAATGGGGTGCCAAAGGGATAAAGAAATATAGACACCAGAGACATATTTGGGAGGCAGAAAGATAGTACTTGATAATGGACTGGAGAGGGAGGGAAACAAGATCAAATCAAGGGAAGAAATCAAAGATGATGCCCAGATTTCTAGCGTGGGTACCTGAATGAATAATGGGTTCGTTTGCTGAGATGTGAAAGACCGGAAGAACAGATTTGGTGAGAAAACCAAAAATACAGTTTAAAACATAAATTAGAGGGAGTTCCCTGATGGCCTTGTGGTTAGGATTATGGGCTTTCACTACTGTGGCCCGGGTTCAATCCCTGGTCAAGGAACTGAGGTTCCTGCAAGCCATGCAGCACAGACAAAAAAAAGGAAAAAAGCATAAATTAGAGATGCTGTGAGGTATCCAAATGAAGATGCCAAGTATGTAGTTAGAAGTCTGGAGCTCAGAGGAGGTACATGTGGGAGCCAGATGTTCTGCTAGCCCTTCCCTTTAAATTGTAATGTTCAAGACATTCTCAAGTGGACAGAAGCTCCAAACCCAGCTGCTTTTCACCTTCAATCTACGCTTAATATAAATGGGAAGTTTTCAAAGCCAAAAGAATATACCTCTCCTTGGAAAATAGTGTAGAGAGCAGGCAAGTTCTCCATGGTCTCGGGTCTTCCTGAATTCATCCTTAATGTTCTATGGTTCCTCCATTTCTCTTCTGCTAAAGCTAATTCAAGTGTCCTGTCACAAAGAAACAGAACAGGTAACAGAGAGACATTTGCAATAAAAAAAAAAATGTGCTGCCAATCCACAGGTTGTCCCTACAGGATAATACCATTAGATTTAATACCATGTACTTTTTAATTTACTTATTTACTTATTTATTTTTGGCTGTGTTGGGTCTTCGTTGCTGTGTGCGGGCTTTCTCTAGTTGCAGCGAGCAGGGGCTACTCTTCCTTCTGGTACAGGGGCTTCTCATTGCGGTGGCTTCTCTTGTTGCAGAGCATGGGCTCTAGGCGCACGGGCTTCAGTAGTTGTGGCACACGGGCTCAGTACTTGTGGCGCGCGCGCTTAGGTGCTCCGCAGCATGTGGGTTCTTCCCAGACCAGGGCTCGAACCCATGTCCCCTGCACTGGCAGGTGGATTATTCTTAACCACTGTGCCACCAGGGAAGTCCCCACCATGTACTTTTATCCAAACCTCTTTTGTCCACTATAACTGTGGGGAGTTTTGGAAACCTTGATCTTATTTCTTTTCAGTTTGATACTTTACCAAGGCCATTAGCCTACTGTTTTGTTTTCATTGTTATTATTGCTATTCTTTTGCCAAGGGAAGGCTTTTGGTGGGGGAGGGTGTGAACGGATCTGTAAAAAAGGAATAATAATAGGAATAAGAGCTAACATTTATCAAGCACTTACTATGTCCAGGCACTGTGCTAAGCATTGGACATCCAATATCTCATTTAATCCTCAAAACTCTCAAGATGTAGGTTCTATTAATTATCATATTATGTAGATGAGAAAACCAAGACTTCCAGAGGCCAACTGATTAGGCCTATGTCAAAAAGCCAGAAAATGGTAGAGTCAAACTCTGGCTGACATCAGAGTCCACGCTTTTAACCAGTATTCTAGGCGCTAAATCTGAAGTGACTTCAAAAAGAGAGCATAGGGAATTCCCTGGTGGTCTGGTGGTTAGGATTCTGCACTCTCACGGCCAAGGGCGCAGGTTCGATCGCTGTTCGGGGAACTAAATCCCACAAGCCATGCATGGCGCAGCCAAAAGAAGCAGAAAGAAAGCATAGCTTACTTTTTTCTCCAATGAAATTAAAATCACACATGCTCATTTTAAAATTTCAGATAACACATTAATTTGAAGAAAAGAAAATCATCTATAATTCAATTTGGTTTATAACCTTTCAGACTTTTTTACATGTACAAGTAGGTTTTTTAGTGGAATCATGAAACCATTAATTAATATTAATAGCCATTTTATATTATTTTTTAGCAATTTATACACAAACATCTTTTTTTAATGCCTATATAATAATCCATTGCTGGATGCATCAAACTTATTTAACTATTTATGAATCACATTAAAATGCAGATAGCAACTCAGTAGGTCTAGGGTGGTGCCTGAGATTGGGCATTTCTTTCTTTTTTAAAAATTAATTAATTTATTTATTTTAATTAATTAATTTATTTCAGCACGTGGGATCTTTTGTTGAGGCGAGCGGGCTTCTCTCTAGTTGTGGTGTGTGGGCTCAATAGTTCTGGCACATGGGCTTAGTTGTCCCAAGGTATGTGGGATCTTAGTTCCCCTACCAGGGATCGAACCCAAGTCCCCTGCACTGGAAGGCAGATTCTTAACCACTGGACCACTAGGGAATTCCGTGGGCCTTTCTAACAAGCTCCCAGGTGATGCTGATGCTGCCAGAGTACCAAGTCTTAGAGCTTTCAAGTTGGAAGGGATCTTAGAGGTACTCTTGCTCAGCCTTCTGGTTTTAAACAGGGAGGAAACCAGCAATCTAGCAGCTCTTGACCATGTCCCTTTACTTGCTGCATAAATCACTGCTACATAAAGATAAAGTTAATGCTACAGTCCTCCGTTCTCTTTTTCCTCCTAATTACTTGACATCAATAAGACCTGAAACTCTATTTTCCTTGGGTTTTCGTGTGCAAATACCTCCTTCTCTCCTCAACCCTGAGCACACCCCTACATTTTCAGATGATTACTTCAGATCTTACTTTTGGAAAGTCTTCCTGATTTACAATACCCATCCATTAACTGAACTGCCTCACTTAAAACAGAAATGAAAGAAAATTCTGCCAGGTTCCAGACCCTAGTTCTAGTATCATCCCAAAGCCCAGGAACATCCGTGTCCTTGAGTTCCATAAGACAACCTGTATCCGTATAATAAACTTGGCCTTTTCTGTTTACGTCAGCCAGAAGTGGGTTTTCTTACATTATTAAAAGCACACAGATAGAATGAAGGCAGATTTGTCCGTTCTTAAGAAATGGCTGACAAACAGCTTAAATCCAAGTATCACAGTCTGGTTGGATCCTGCCTCTTCCACTTCCCAGCTATGCAGTCTCACCTCTAGTCCTTCCCTTCCCTCTGCCCAGCATCCTCACCTCATATCCTAGAACAAAGGTTATTAACCTGAGGCCAATGACTCTATCAAGAAACCTTAATTATCCCTCCAATTCTTGGAGCACTAGTGAGGTACAGAATCCATAGAGGCATCGGCAGCTAGGACATCTAAATTAAGCTCAAACAACTTAGTCTATCAACTGTTCTTCTTTAAACAAAGGTCACAGAAAGAGCAATACAATCTTAAGTTATTTCGTACAGATTTTTGCTGTGATAAGGGTATGAACAGCTAAGTTTAAAGCTCCCCTATTTGCTCCTTTTGTAGAACAGTAGCCTGAGAAACCCTATGCAATTCTTCAAGCAGGAAATTGGCATGCATTTTTGAGAGAAATCCTGTTATACAACAGTAACAGGCTTATGATTTCAGAATTGTAAAGGGTTGCCAGGGACACAGTTATTTATTAGCCACCTCCTTCCCAAATGGTATTTTAAAATTTTTTTGAATTATATTCTGTAGAAACCTAGGGTTGTTCTATGGTTGTTATTCAAAAGGAATTCCAATTGGAAAGGAAGAAGTAGAACTGTCTCTATTTGCAGATCACATGATACTATACATAGAAAATCCTAAAGATGCCACCAAAAAACTGCTAGAGCTCATCGATGAATCTGTTAAAGTTGAAGGATACGAAATAATTATAAATACAAATTAATATACAAAAATCTGTTGCATTTCTATACACTAACAACGAACTATCAGAAAGGGAAATTAAGGAAACAATTCCATTTACAATCGCATCAAAAATAATAAAATACTTAGGAAAAAACCTACCTAAGGAGGTACAGTGGTTATCCAGAAGCTTCTCAGTTAACTCAAGTTTATTTTAAAAAGCCAGTTCCGAAATATCTAGGGACAACAGGATCAGGAAGGCCAAAGAAGAAGGGCCCTAGGTCAACCAACCAGAGGACAGCCTCCATACCAAAGGTGGGGGAGAACAACCCCAAAGAAATCTGAGTTACGGGAGGTCCCACACAGAGCAGTTGCAAAGCTAGGAGCCTCTCCTCAGTCATTAGGCAGAGGTTGATTATTGCTGATTCCCACTTGCCCTCCCAGCTTTGGGGTGGGTCATGGTAGCAAGGGGGAAGGGAGGTTATAGGAGGAAGGCCTACTTTTAACAGCATATTCTGCTTTGATCTGGTTTACCTATTAAGCTTCTATGTAACATTTCATTTGGAAAAAACAGTTCTGCTGCTTTTAAAAAGTTTATGAAACATTGAAACAGATATAGTGTAGTTCAATAGGACCACATCTGTAGACTTAAAAGAGCAAGTAAATTGACAAGGATTGAGGTACACCATTTGAAGTTGCCTTGCAATAGTTCTAGAAATAAAAAATTCCTTATGCATTTCATTTTACTTGAATGTTTTAAACAATTGTGATATGGAGGGAAGCAATAAGGACCCAGTTATTTATTAGCCACCTCCTTCCCAAAACAAAGAGCAGAGCAAGGAAAAGTATAGCGTGGGAACGGGAATGGTAGCCCAGAGTGAGGTCAGAGCTTATGCTGGGCGAGGAGTAAATCTACAAAGAGCAACCCAGTGTAGGGGAGAAGCAGGATTATAAGGGTGTCTGCACACTGGGGCAATCCAGAATGGGGAGTCAGTGCCCAAACATGGAAGAGCAGGGCCTGAGGATTAGAGGTAATTATGCAATGTTAATTTCCTGACTATAGAAGTTATATTATGGTTATATAGAAGAATGTCCATTATAGGAAAACTGAAGTATTCATGGGTGATGGGGCATCAAGTCAGCAACTTAACTCTCAAATGATTCATTAAGAAGTGTTATTTGGGGCTTCCCTGGTGGTGCAGTGGTTGAGAGTCCGCCTGCCGATGCAGGGGACACAGGTTCATGACCCGGTCCGGGAAGATTCCATATGCCGCAGAGCGGCTGGGCCCGTGAGCCATGGCCGCTGAGCCTGTGTGTCCGGAGCCTGTGCTCCGCAACGGGAGAGGCCACAACAGTGAGAGGCCCGCGTACCGCGAGAAGTGTTATTTGTACTGTATCTCCATAATTTTGTGATTTTTCAGCTTTTTTTTAATGTGCCAGCAATTAGGAAAAAAAATAACCACGTTCTCTCCTCCTTCCCCTCAAGCAATGAGCAATTCATAGAATAATATTAAATTGGAAAGATAATACGTAGCCCCTTTGAAACTTCATTTCATATGTCACCTCACTGATCTGGCCAAGATTTTTGTTGTTGTTTTTAAGTTTAAGATTTAGATTTACTGTTGTTACTTAACAGTACCAATTAGATAGACCTCTGAGAGTTAAAGTGATTTTAATTTATTTTTAAGTTATGTGTAAGAATTGAGGCGAATCAATTGATAAGTCAAAATACTGGGACACATCAAAGACAGAATAATGACAGAGCCTTCATTCTCAGCCACTATTCCACACTGCCTCAGAAAGAATTCACCGTCCACATCTAAATTTTGAAGAGTATGTAGTTCTTTTTTTTTTTTTTTTTTTAATTTATTTGGCTGCACCGGGTCTTAGTTGCGGCACACAGGATCTTCGCTGCAGCATGCAGGATCTAGTTCCCTGACCAGGGATCGAACTTGGAGCCCCTGCATTGGGAGTGAGGAGTCTTAATCACTGGACCACCAGGGAAGTCCCTGAAGAGTAGTATATAGTTCTAACACTAACTAGGTCCCAAATCAGAGATTCCAGTAAGGAGTAATTAGAAGGGCATCATTCCTGGAGGCTAGGATGAGCAGGGTCTGGATTTATTCATTCAAACATGTAACCAAGGACCATTTCTCATTTGATTTTGTCTTCCCAGTGCCTGTATACAGTAGGTACTCAAAGTTTTCTTGAATGAGTGAATACAGCCTTACTATGTGGCAAACACAGGTAAAGAAAGAAGAAAGCATTCTGGTCTAAAGAATGTAGGAGAAGGAACTGAGTTCCACACAATTCGCTGGGTAGATCAAAAGATGGGAGACTTGCAAATATCAAACTGGTGACCCAATCCTCCTCCTTCCCATCAAATTTCTAGAGTAACTATCTTAGATGCTTTTTCCATTTTGCACTCTGGTCATGGATCTGTTGACAAAATGGTCAAAGGCAGGAAAGAGGAAAAATAAGAAGAAACAAGGAAAAACAAAAATGGACTCATAAAAAGTGAAAGCTGAAAGCAATTATTAAGGTCATTCAGTCCACTACTCTTATTTAATTGAAAATGAGGCTAACAGAGGTCAAATGTCTTGACAAGGGCTGCTCAGAGTTAGCCATTTTGGTACTGGACCCCAGGACCAGTCAACAATCCCTAAGGTCCCTTCCAAGTCTTCTAATAATTATAGCTAATACTTGAGTGCTTCCTATTTGCCTTTAACCTAGAAGCTTTACCTGTCTTAACTAAGTTAATTCCCTTTCGACCTCCCTAACAAGGTAGGCAATTATCGTTTTGTTTGTTAAGGTATTTTACAGATGAAGAAACTAAGACACAGGAGAAGCTAAATTACCTTGTTCAAGATTACAAAACTATGAATGATGGAGATGGGATTCAAATCCTATTTATGAATATTTTTTCTTTCCTTTATGGATTGTGAAATTCTTCCAAGCATGCCCTTGTCTTGCACTCCATCATATCCTTCAACTCTCCAGTGCTTACCACAGTATAGAGCACACAGAAATTTGTAACTGTCTACTGAAATACTTAATTTTACTCTATTTTAAATTGTTAGTTAATTTATCAGTTCAGCACCTTTATTGATGTTTATATGTCAGGCTCTGTGCTAGGCACTTCATAAACCTTTCCTTCTTTTTTTAAAAAATATTTATTTATTTATTTATTTATTTATTTGGCTGTGCCGGGTCTTAGTTGCAGCACACGGCATTTTCGTTGCAGCATGCGGGCTCTTAGTTGCAGCATGCGGGATCTAGTTCCCTGACCAGGGATTGAACCCAGGCCCCCTGCATTGGCAGCACAGAGTCTTAACCGCTGGACCACCAGGGAAGTCCCCATAAACCTCCTTTCAATCCTTAAAACAACTCTACAAAATAGATATCTCTGTTTTAAAGGAATGAAGTAACTTGTCGAAAATTCATAGCTAGAAAGAGATAAATCTTAGGCCATTCCAAGAGCCACACACACTTGCCACTAAACCATTCTTTTCAACACAGTCCCTGTCATCAAAGGCTTCCTAGTCGTGTAAGGATAATGGTGACCAATTACAATGCAGCATGATCAGGGCTAGTGATTAGTTTCAAAGTATTAAGAAAACAAGAAAGAGAAGAAGGGCCTGGAGGAAGCAAGAAGTTTAAAAGGAGACAACTGAGTAGGCCTTTAAGGATAAACGGAAGTCCTCTAGCAGAGATTACTGTTCACTGACCTCATCAGAATCCTGATATACTGACCTCTATTTTCTTCCAATCTATCAGCCCTCTTTTTTCTTCACTTTCCTCCCTATCCAGCTTAGATTCCATAGTCCATCATTCAAACAATAGCTTAACTTCCCTTTAACTCTGTCTTTATAGCTCACCTAACTGGCAGTACCCCTACTCTGATGGAGTACAATTGCACATATTGGAACACATTCTAGCTAGGTTAAACAGAAACTGGGATTTATTGCCAGGTATTACGTGACTTACAAAATTACTGCAAGGGCTATAGGAAGTACTGGTAGAACGTCCCAGGAACACCTCCTAACCCACAAAACAATAGTCTTTGCCGTGATCAAGAAAGTCATGGCTATCATTGCAGAAAGTCACGAAACCAAAGAGCTGATGACTAAGAAACTCACTGCCTCTGCTATGGTATTTGCCAGCAAAACGGCATGCCTCTCACTCTCCCCCTCCTCACTTCCAAATTCAATTCTCATCTTAGAGCAGTCTAGGAAATATCTAGCTCTCAGTTCCACCAATACCCCAGTCTTCACTGCCAACAACTCTCACCAAAGTGGTCTATCTGCATCTATCTCCCCTCCAATCTGTTCACACTACTAAGGCCTGAGGGATCAAGCTGCCTCCCCCACCCCACCACCTGCAAAAAAAACCCTCAGTGATTTCCCATCAGTCTTAAAGCAAAAGCTACGAAGTCTGGCCTCTGCCCACCTCCAGCTTCATCTTGTACCACATTCCCCTCTGTTCCATTTGTCCTGGCCACACTGGCCTCTTTGTGCCTGTTAGTCACTTTCCTCACATTTGCCACAGGACCTCTGCACATGCTGTTCTGTATGGAATATGCTGCCTTCATCTCTTCACCCAACTAATTAGAACTGTTCCTTCAGGTATCAGTTCAGGCATCTTTTCCTTAGAGAAGCCTTCCTGCTTATTCCAGGCACTCATAACACCAGCTTCCTCTCGTAGGCAGCACTTACTTTGCATTTCTTAGTGAGATCATTGGTGAGCATCTGTTTCCCCCACCGGACTAACAACAGCCCTGAAGTCAGGGACCATGTTTGGTTCACAATGTCTCCCCAGTGCCTTGCACAATAAATATCAGTTGCACGATTAAGGAGAAGGCCTAGTTCACAGGTATGAATCCGAATTTCTCAACAAGACTGTGCTCTGGAAGCCGAGAGTCGGACATTTCCTTCATCTCCGTCTCTCTCAGGAGCACTGAGCAGGCGCTAAAAAAAAAGGCTGCAGAATCATGGCAGAAACAAGTCGGCCTCCTCAGTCAGAGAGGACCCTAGTGGAGGCTGGGAGACAGGCCTCTTCTCCCTGGGAGCGCCTGGCACAGGGCTCGACAAGGAAGGCTCTTGTTGAAAAAGTCGGTCGTCGAGGGCCCCAGGCAGGCGCAGAGACCCCAAAGCTCTGCTCCAGCCCTAGAAAGGGAACCCAGGCTACTACACACAAGAGCTAGGAACTCGGGGCCCACCTCTGCCCTTTGCAATCAAACCTGCAGCTGAGAACGGCCAGCCTCAGACCACATAACGGAGGCACCGCCTCCAGATCCACTGCCTCCACCCCCGATCTTCCTTACACTTACTCGGTGTCAGCGTCCGGTCTCCACGCCGCAGCATTGCGCGCAACACCGAAACCCAGTCAGCGAGCTTCCACCCACAGGACACAGCGCGCCTAGGTGGGACTCCAGCTCTATTCACCAATCCTGGAATAGTACTCTCATAAGGGCAGAAAGAACTGACCAATAACAGGAGACTCCCCAGGGGTTGGTGCAGAGGGGAGTATTGGAAGTTGATTGGTTTCTCCAAGCCGGAAGTTCCGGGGGAAGACTAAGTTTGAGCCAATCGTGTGGTGCCTGAGGGTGTCGGCGCGGTCAGAGGCGGCTTGAGGAGAGTGGCTGCCGCCATGATAGAACAGCAGAAGCGAAAGGGCCCAGAGTTGCCGCTGGTCCCAGTCAAGCGGCCGCGGCATGAATTGCTATTGGGAGCGGCGGGGT